GAGCCCACAAATGTTCAATTGGGTTTAAATCAGGAGACCGAGAGGGCCAAGGAATACTCCTCACCTCGGATTGCTGACCAAGCCAATTCTGGACCACCCGCGCACGGTGTATAGAGCAATTGTCCTGAAAAAAGGCAAACGATGGAACTTCGTCCACCGGATACACCGTGCGCACTGAAGGCAGCATAAACTCCTCCAGCAATTCCCTATAGGTTTGTCCTGTAGCCCTCTCGTCAATGTGGGCTAGCTCATCGGGTCCGTCAGCACTCATCCATCCCCACATGTTTACCGCTATTCTGCCGGATTCGTTGTTGGGCCTCACATTCCTCGGTTCATATCTCGTGTGGTTTATACGCCATAAATTCTGACGACCGTGCTGGCTCGACTTAAAACATTTTTCGTCAAAAAATATGGCGTTTGAAAAATCGAAATCGCGATAATCGCGAGCGAACCTGACGCGGGCCTCCTTTTGCGCGGTACTTAAAATATTTTTTTTTGCTGGTCTTCTGTGGTGAATACCTGCTTTATGCAACGCATTTCTTATAGTTTTTACATTGCAGTCATATTCGAGGGCAAAGTCGATGTTTTTGTAAATGGTGCCTCTTGATAAACATTTACGAATTCGAATTTTACGATTTTTATATTTATATGTTATACAGGTTATTACAATTATAATTATGACTGGATACAAAATTAAAGTTCCTATGCTAATGCTTTTCACATTCACTGTTTCCACGTTGGTGTCTAGTTAACAATGATGCAAATAAAATATTTAATTATCGCTTGTCTCGTGCACGCCGGTGTGTAGAAAATGCGTTTGGTATTTTACGGGCTCGATTTCGAGTATTTCGTGGACCTATGCAAGTCCAGCCGGACATGGTAGACAAGATTGTGCTAGCTGCCTGTTGCTTACATATTTTTTTAAGAACACAAACATCGCTAAGCACTGATAAACCTGAAGAAAATTTGATGGATTCTCCTGACCATAGCAGCAACATCGATTGTCTGCTTAATATTGAATCTTTACCAAGAAACCCATCACAAAACGCTGTTTATGTCTGAGAGAAATACAAAGAGTATTTTATAAGTCAAGAAGGGATAGTACCATGGCAAATAGAAATGATACGCCGGGGTAGACAAAATTCTTAAATAGTATTAATTGTTAATTTTGTATAATTATTGATTTATCTCTTTTCAAATAATAATAAAGTAAAATACTATTTTATTGACTTACCTGGTTCTTTTAAAATTTCAGAATTTTCTTCCCAAGCAGCATTTCTGATCAATTGATCCTTGTACTCTTTACACTTTGAATCATATATAACTTTTCGTTGACGTACAAGTTCAATAAGATCGTCAGTCATCTTGCTGCAAATATAATAAATTCAAAAGTGCCCGCTAGAAGTTCGCGCCACGAGCCACGCGCCGGTATAGAAACACATTTGCCTGTTGTGTCGTATCGCGTCATAACCCCCACCTCTGGCGCAATCGGTGGCGAGGAGTCGGCGCCGCGACAGAACGCGTTGCGACACGACACGACATGCCACGACACGTAAGTATGTTTCCGCCTTTAGTTTCTATTGTATCTATATATTATCAGTCTTAGACTATTATTGAGTTGAAATTATTGGTTTCTCTCATATAAAAAAAATAAAACCTATAATATTAGTCTAATAATATTAAACTAATATTTTTTATGTTAGGGCCTTAGGATACCTGAAGTACAAAATAAAATTAAAAAAAAATATAGTTAAAAATGTATTTTAATATTAGAAAAAACTTGAAAGAGACGTATTTTAAAGGTTCGATTATAAGTTTACAAATTTCTCCAGTTGTGATAAATCTACTGAAACATTTGTATTATCAGAATAATTAATTGGAGACATTGGAGGAAACGATGAATTTGTATTAGAATCTATGAACGAAGATATTGGTGAATAATTATTGTCCTGTATTCTTGTCACTGCTGTATTGGATAATAAGTATTCTCATATTGTTGTCTCACTTGTGGCGGATGTGATTGGTCTGACTTTTCTACATCTGAACAAACTTAGTAAAAACATTTTTCGAGCACTGCCCGTCTTTGTTTCTTTTTTTTTATCCAATCGACAAATGCTTTATCAGCCTCGTTAGTGTGCTAACCTCAAAAATTTGTATCTTCCAAATGGTGTGTTGAATGTTGTTAATTCTGTGCTGTCTTCATCTAATTCTACTTGTAAATATCCATCCTTCATGTCCATAACCGTAAAATATTTTTTCCCGTTAACTTTGTTGCTATTGTATCAGCTGTTGGGATTGGGAAATATTCTCTGCGTATTACTTTATTTAAATTAGTTGGGTCTATACAAAGATGTTAATCTCCATTCTTTTTAGATGCTATTACCAATGAATTTACCCAATCCTTCCACTTTAGCTATTATTTTCATTTTTTCCAATTCATTCAATTTTGCTCTTAATTTATCTTGTATAGCCTGAGGGACATTTCTTGACCTATGAATATGTGGTGTACTATTTTCTTTTAATTGTATTTTATACTTTTTTGGGTATCGTCCCAACCCTTGAAATACATCTGAAAATTGCTCCAATAAAGTTTCTTTACTTGAAATGAAATTTAATGATTTCCAATTGTAGACAACTTTGTAATCCTAGTATAGGAATACTTTTATTGTCAACAACATAAAAAATAATTTTGAATTTTTGTTGATTGTACTCGCATTATTAATTAATTTTGCCTAAAGGCCTTTATTTCTGCTCCACCAAAAGCTAATAAAATGGTATTTGTTTTCTCTAACTTTGAGCCCTCATCCTTGATTTTATTATATATGTTATTTAGTAATATGTTTGATTCCGCACCTGTATCAATCTTAAAACAAACTTGTTTTCTATTATTCAAAGTTACTATTTCATACCATGCCTTGCTATTTTGGTCACTAATAGAAAATATTTGTGACATGTTATCTCAGAGCTATTATTATCATTTGCTATTTCATCACACTTAATTTTTGAAGTAACTTTTGTCCGACACATTTTTTTAAAGTGACCCACAACTGTCACACTGTTTTTTAAATGTTGGACATGCATTTATTTTGTGTGAGAATCTGCACCTCGTACAATTATTTATCGTTTTGTTTTTCTGAGCATACCCTATGGTTTTTTTCCTCATTACATCTATGGACTCGTGCATGTTACAGCTACTCATTTCTTGTAGCTGGGCAACAGTGGACTCCGCTGCTTTGCCCATATCAATAGCATTTTGTAAATTTAGCTCTGGTTCTCGTTACAAGCGTTCGCTTAAATTAAAACAATTAATCCCAATACAATCCTGTCTCTCACCATTTCTTTTGGATTTTTATAATTGCAGATTTTACAGGCTGTTTTCAATTCTGTTACAAAATCGTCGAACTCTGGCCTGGTTTCTGTATCAACTTATTTTTATACCTCTCAAATATAGTATTACACTTTGGTTTAAAGTGTTCTTCAAAACTTTGCCTAATCTCAAATATAGTATTACACTTTGGTTTAAAGTGTTCTTCAAAACTTTGCCTAATGGTGGCGAAATTCTGTTTCATCGCCGAGTCGAAGTTATTGTATATTTATAGGCACTCATCTCCTATAAAATTTAACAAAAATGCTATTTTCCTTTTGTCTGCTGCAGTTTCTTCATTAGCCGCTTCAATATATATGTGGAATTGTTGAGAAAATCGTTCCCATTCTTGATAAACATTAGGCACTGCCACGTTTATTGGATTCGGCACTATTAAATTGGTATCCATGATTGTAATTCACACCTGACACCAAGTAAAAGCTTTATAATATTTATGATTTTATTTTATTTTATTTTAGAGTAGACATTATGTTCCAAAACACACTTCACCGCTTACCCATAGAGTTGCCCTTTTTTATATAGACCTTCTATATGTACAATATTATTTATTCAGCGCTTTTGATATAGCTTCTAGAAATATAACTTATTTCCTACAGATGTGTTTATGCTGTGGTTAAAAAACTGAATTCAGAATGTCAATTCATGTATCTTCGACTGTGACAGTAAAATTAATGTAATAACCTCGATGGTGTTTCTTAGATGGAGAAAAAAAAACCTTGTTTTAAAACAATATACATTATATTAATTTTATAAGAAACTGAAACAGTAGACTGCGCCCGGTAGTCGGGGGAGTAGCAGATGCGGAGGGGGGGGGGGGGGGGGGGTAGGTGGCCGCCTCCGCCTCGGAGGAGTAGTGAGGGCTGATGGGGCGGGTGTGACTGGCGGGGATGGCGGAGGCCGCCCTGAGAAGCAGGGAGGCTTCGGGAGAGGAAGGTGCAGCGAGTACGCGAGGGCGGGATGGTGCTTGGGACAGGGTTACGATCTATCGTCATTCGTTTAATACTTTTTGTTTGTTATATTTTATATTTATGTTAGAATTATAGAAAAAATCAACATTAAACAAAATATGCCACTTTTCACCGGTAGTCAGCCTCATTTCTCCAGAAGTCAGCCATGTCTTACCCAATAGTCAGCCTTTTACTTATTATTGCACGCTGGACATACACATTATCATAGTATTCAGCTGCAGATATAGTACATTTTAAATGATACCACGCAGGACAATTGTCACAACCAATATTTTTTATATCGTTTATTTCTGTGTCACTAGTCGATTCCTCTTCACATGAATCGCATCTTATCTGTTTACTGTGCATGTCGTACTTTTCCTTGCTTTTACTATTTTTGGACATCAAATTCTATTTTTATCTTTCTTCTTCAGTCTTTTTATTAGCTTCCATTATTTTTTTAATCATTTTTTTTAAATTTGTTTGTAAGGACCGCAAACAAGTTTACATTATCACTTAACCTAGGATAACTTTACTAGAGGTAGGAATTGAAAAGGGTGATTTTCTACCAGACTGCTTATTTGTCTTATTGGAATCCGACGATAGACTTATTGGCTTTCCTGTATCTCAGGAACTTGAATGAGAGCTGCGCGAACGATTGGAACTATTAACATTACGTATTTATAGACATATTTTGTATGTCATTTACTTTAATTCTGGACTTTTCTTGTAAGCTAACACAATTGACAGGTATAGAGGTTGGGGTGTATTATTATTATTATTATTGGGTGTAAACGGTTTCTTTATAGAAATAATTAACTGTTCAGCAGATGTATTTTGAAGGATAGTTTCCGCAAAACCTTCCTTACAAGTTATCAAAGCACTAGGTATACGTACGCCTTTACCGACGTCTTTTAAGTTTAAAAGTGCCTCTCCTTCTGTCTGATTGGTCGGTATTTTCACTCGACAACGCGACAAACGAATCTCGTATGGAGGTTGATATAAAATAGGGATTTCTGTATTTTGAATTTTTAATAATTTATTTTTCATGTCTATATTCGCATTTAGTTGAATTAGCAGATCACTACCTAATTAAACCGTCATACTTATTATCTACCGTATAGACATAAAACTTATGTATTCCGGGGGTTTTAAATGTTTTAAACATAGGAATTTCTATTGCTTTATTATGTGTACTACGTGCGTGTGTACTTATTACTTCGAAGGGCTCGTGAAATTTATAATTTAAAAAGAATTTATTGACCAGTTCTGAGCTAACAAAGGAACGGGTACTTCCGGTATCGATTAAAAAAATTGCATTTATTTCCGGTAATTCTATGTGTGGCAAACGCATAGTTGAGGTATAATTTATTTGTACTATTTCACGCTCCTCTGTATCGGAGGCTATTATCGAAAAATTTTGGTCTCCATATTGAAATTGGGGGAAAATCGGAATCGTACTGTAATTTGTTTATTTCGTAAGAATTTTTATAGATAAACTCCTCATTTCCTTGACTATTTGTATCGTAAAAAGGTGAGGGGGACTCGTTTAGATGTTCACTTGTTTCTTGTGAATCATTCAGCATGTTTAGTCTTATAGGTGCTACGGTGCGCATTGAAACATCCGTGTTTTGTTGAGGACGCGGCGCTTGTGAGGTACTTGAGATTCCGAACTTAAATTGGTTATTTACGGGATTCCGAAAATAAGAAAATGGTCTATTTTGCGTGTTTGGATAGTTAAAATGTAGATTTGTAGGTCTATTGAATTGATAACTAGGATAGTTTGGACGTTGATTGGATATTAATTTGTATGCTCATTTGGAATTCTGAATTTAAAATAATTTGTATAGGATTTTGCATGTTATTAGTAATACAGAATTTGAAGTTTTGATTAGGGTTATGCAGTGGTTTAAAATTGTTAAACTTGAAATTGTTATTCATATTAGGTAGAAGATTAGGTGAAAATTTTTGTTTAAATTGCGGAATACTTGGTAAAGCTGGGTACAGATTGGTGCAATGCAACATGTAATGTAATATTCTGCCTTACATTGCATGTTCCCTGCTGCCTTGGACGTGTGGCGCGCGCGGTACGCGCATTGACTAAGAATCATTCGAGAACATCTGTTCCCGCATTTCGTTACAAACACTAGCCCTCGTCACACGTGTTCTTTTCTTTGCCCGCATCACTCTACTTAGTCGATATACTTACGAATCATGGAGTCTGAAGACAGCCTTCTTGCTCTGACGATTATCCGTGCTTCATTGTTAATCATACATCAACTTTTAAAAAAACGTCGAAGACCCCGACGTTGGTGGCGCACAGAATTATATAAACGGAGAGAAGGCAGAGAACTGCTTACAGATATGAATTTCCAGCATATAAGTGGCCAATACAAAAGTTTTAGGAGGATGACGCCAACAGACTTTGAAAATTTACTCGCGATAGTCGGACCAAGAATAAGTCGAAAATATTCAAATTTAAGAGTTCCAATTTCAGCCCAAGATAGACTAGCGATAAACAATCTATAAGTGGAATTGTTCCTGAAGTGTGCTCTGCTATAATTGAAGAATAAAAAGAAAACATTAAGGTACGTATAATCAAAATCTTTATTTTTCTTTGTTAACTTTAGTTAATTGATTAAATCACTAAAATCATCTATAGAAGAGTGCTGTGAGTCTTGTGAAGAGACCAACAAGGGCTGCTGGTTGATTGAGTAGTTAGCAGCGTCTACACATTCTGCTGTGGTATAACCGTAGGATACTGAAGTTGAGGGACGATTGGAGTATGGTACTCTGTTTTCTGTGGCACCCAAATCTGTATATGCATTTGGTTGATGTCGCCAAAATTCATAATATCCCCTGTCGGCTTTCATAATAATTTCAAATATTGCGTGTTCAACCGAAGTCCTAGTCTGAGAGGAATAGTTACTCATTTTAGCTCCTATAAATGAAACAAAACTTTTTGTTATGTCAGGAATGCTTGATGAACTGTCCAATTTCTGTGCAGTTGTTTTCAATATCCCCACTACATCGGTAAGAACATTGTTTTCGTCTCTTCTGGATCGTTTCGCTTCCTGTAGACCATGCTCATTTGGTGGTGCTGGAGGGGTGAACTCATGTTGCGTGGCTTCGGCGGCATTGTTTTCGGAGGCTGAGCGTTGAATGGACTCCTGGAAATAATTATAATGATTTAAGTTTTTTTTAAGGTACCCACGACTGCCAACGCCTGGTAGGAGTTTGAACACCGGTGGAACTTCCCACACTGTATAGGGTCATTGGACGGGAAGCACGTTTTACTTCAAGCTCCTATTAAAAGCGGAACCGAGTTTTATAATTATAAACAAAATTTCAGCATCGTTTTGTTTGGTCTAGTTGATGCAGACTATAATTTTCTATTCGTAGACGTAGGTTGTCAAGGGAGGATTTCTGATGGCGGAGTTTTCAAAGATACCCAATTATGTGATACGATAGAGAATCGAACATTAGACCTGCCAGAGTCACGTCCCCTATCCGATAGAAATGTTTCTATACCATATTTTTTTTTTTAGGCGATAGCGCGTTTGCTTTAAGTGAATACTTGATGAAGCCATATGCTGGGATACATCCAAAGGGTTCATCGAAGAGAATATTTAATCATAGATTAAGCAGAGCTAGACGGGTTGTTGAAAACGTATTTGGCATTGTATCGTCTGTATTCAGAGTTTTAAGAAAACCAATGCTATTACAACCCGATAAAGCTGAATTGGTAGTTATGGCAATCACTCTTTTACACAATTATTTAAAACGTCACTCTACAAACGTGTACATGATTCCAGGGTTAGTTGATAGGGAGGAAGATGGAAATTTAAATGAAGGTACGTGGAGGCAAAATAATAATAACATCAGATCAATACTGCCTGTAAGAAATATCCCTAGACGATCATCTGCGCATCTTAATGCGGAACTTCAATTATTGGCCGATCGCCATCCAAAGGCCACTAGCGAACCCAAGTCATCTTCTGTGCCGGATAATGAAACAAGGGAAAGCACAAACATCTCATCAAAGCTCGTATTTGATCCGAAAGCAGTTCCTGTGAGATCCAGACGCACGGTTCAAGCAACAAATAAGCCTGGTAAGGTAGCTAAAGCCACCAAATAGCTTTCTTGCTTTTCTGCTGATTCCATTTTGTTTTGTATCTGCAAATAGATTTGGTAGTGCATTGTCTTTGCTATGCCTTTGTAACAGCAATTTAATGTAGATATAAGTTGCTAATGTTGTTATTTTGCTGCTTATTTTAGTCATTCTGCTTGTTATGTTTGGGTATGATATTACTATAATGTTTTTTACTGTGACGGTATTTGTAAACTGATAGTTATTGCTTATTGATAGAAAAATGTAAACAAACTCGTGGTATTTGACGTGACGTTGTCTTATTTTTTTTTTTTTTTTAGATTAGTCTTAATTTAAACTTAAATAGATAACGTGGACGAAAATCTTACATTAGAACAACAACTAGCTTTAGAACTGAAGCGTGAAAAAGAAAGTTTTATAAAACCGAAAACAAATGTGAAGGACTATGACAAAAATTTAAAAAAAGAGATGAGCTTATTCGAGACTGAGGGTGTCAGAGGTGAGAATCTATCCCTCATTTATGATTTCCTCATGACCCTGAAACCAACCAGCGTAGAGGCAGAAAGGGCCTTTTCCGCAGCCGGATATATATGCAGCAAATTAAGAAGTAGATTAACAGACAAAACTATAAATACCATTTGCTTTCTGAGAGCCTTTTTCCATAAAACCCAGAAAAAGTAAAAGCTACCTATGAGGTAGATTTTATATGTCAATATTCTTATTTATTTACCTAGTAGAGTCAACTCAAGTCACGACAAAGGCAAAGGATAACATTTTAAGTGTTTAAGGAGAAACGACAAATGATAATGTTTTAATTATAAGTTCTATTTTCAGCATAATGACTTCTAATTTTAAGTTTTTAAATTCTAAAGAGTTTTTAATTCTAATTTTATTTCAGTTATTTTTTTGTAGGTCGACTGGTCTAGGATTTTTTTATTTTGAACTGAAACTACCTAATTAGTTAGCCTGGCCAGGGTATTATGTCAAGTCAAGGTCAAGATTCAAGTACCTAAGATTTATATGATTATTCATAATTGTGATAATTAGCTAAATAGTAACTATTATATTGCCTACCTAAACTCCTTACTGACATTTCGAATTAAATAGCTTAATATCTAAGTTATCTTGCGAGTTGCGAGTTCAGCTCAGACTGAATATTCTATTTTTATAATTTATGATTATAATGTTAATTTAGTCCTAACCAGCCATGTAGAGTCTAAGGAAACTGGTAAGACTGACACATGTGCCATTGATTAGTGATAATAGTGATTGATTATCCGTCCTTTCTGTTACCTATTACAATAAATAACATTTTGATAATTCTAATAAAACGAAGTGTGTTAATTATCTTAATATTAAATATTAAACCGAACCAAAAAGTTAAGTCTATTACATAAATGTGTAAAAAGCCTTTTTTGATTGGTCTTAACCCGAAATAATGAAAAAAAACGATTTTTTTCAAGCAAAACCGAATCCAGCTGGATCCAGCGCGAATCCAGCTGGATTTGTGCCAGTCCAGCAAAAATCCAGCTGGACCAAAAATGCTGCTGGATTGCAATCCCTAGTTAGTAGGTAGGTAAGTCATCATTATCAGCCTAATAATGTCGCACTGCTGGGGCACAGGCCTTCCTTATGGATAGGTAATTTTTGGTCACCCATCCAATGACCGACCACTGCGAAAGTTGCTTAAACTTCAACGATCGCAGCCGAACGCGGTAACCAAATACGCCATCGAGCTCCTCGGACGTATGCTTCATTTTTTAATAAGGGGTAATAGTGTGGATGCTTACTAACCTCCTCAGAATCCATGGTTATCTATGCCCCTGCGAGATGGTTAATTAGTCTCCTCAATAAAGGCAAATAATTTGTAATACCATAGTTATGGCTTGTACACGTCATTGCTGCCGGATCCCGTTTGTTTTGAAGCATTTACCTAAAAAAGATAATTATTGAGATAAAAATACCAATGCATGCTGTAATCTAAATAAAACATTGAAATTACCTACAAACACACCTTTTTTTACTCCCGCAAAAAGGACGTACGCATGTTTTCAAATTTTTTTATGAAAGAAAATAAATCGATGTCCTTATCAAGTTCGCTAAATATTTCAAACATTAGTCCAATGGTTCGCTGTCTCATGTCACGGTTAAAATAATGTTTTTTTTTTATCCCACATGTGGGGCCGGTCTTTATATACTTCGATCACTCGTGTCCAAACTTCATGCTCATTATGATCTGCCGCCATCTTGACCGAAATACGTGCGCTGCGTGTGACAGCTACTAACCGACTGATTGAGAAATTGGCCCAATCGCGCTACACACGCGGCAACGTGCAGGGCGGTTGGGACAATCTAGTGAGCAAGGGCGGTCGCGCGCTCCTGCCGCCCTGCCGCAGACTCGATTTAGAAAATTGCCCCAACTTGCCTACACACATTACAATTCAGGGTCATCCCCACTCTTACACCCTAGATTGTCCCTGCGGCAGGCATGTCAGTAGGAGCTTTTAATATACTCAATTTCATCTTTTCCAACTAAGTCTTCTGTACAGTTCTCACAATTTTTAAATACATGTGTTTTTGCCTTTTTAAAAAAATACCGGCTCATATATTGCAGTGGAGCT